TTTCTGAAGAAGGGTCGAGGCCCGAAACGTCAGCCTTCCTGCTCCTCTGATGCTGCTTGGCCTGCTGTGTTCATCCAGCTCTACACCTTGTTATCTCAGATTCTCCAGCACCTGCAGTTCCTGCTATCTCTGAAACTCTTCCAGGATGCCGGGCAACACTGAAACCCTCCCCAGTCAAGGGTGGCAATACATTTTCTTTAAGAACAGGAAAGTCCTTTGAGAAGTCTAAAATTCCAGCACTTGGACCCAACGTTGAAGGAACAGTGTCTAAATATGACTCAGTGGAATAGTGAGTAGTCAGGAGATGCGCCATTTATCGCAAAGAGGCGAGCTGCTCTGTTCTTTTACTCGTGGCATTGACATGGTTGGTTCAGTTAAGCTGCTATGTCAATGATGGCGCCCAAAATACCGATAGTGGAGGATCTTAATTATGGAAGTAGTGACAGTGTTCAAGCTCAGAGTTCTGATTAGGATATTAAGCCCTCGATAATCCTACAAGGAGCAAATATTGCCTGCCATTTTTCAAGGCAGCCTGGGTCCCGCTTCGTTGTTGGAAGAGTTGAGAGTGGGACTGAAAATGATACATGGCCACCAACAAATCCCATTCTGAAATCAAAGACAAAGAGAACATTGCCGATGAAGCAAATGAAAATGCTGCTTTGAGGAACACCAACAGTATTGTTTTACTGTGCTGATATGTCATTTCAAATACTAGACTCTTTCTTAAGATGATTCATTCTGCAGCACACTCTCTACAAAAGAAAGCTGTTTACTCCTTTCATCATAGAAATATCTAATTCATAATCTCTATACTTGTCAATTACACTGCAATAACATGGAGAGCTTTCACACAGCAACAAGGAGGAAAAATAAATTCCAACTAGCTGGGTTCGAAGCTATGAGAGAAAGCAAGTGGAGTCAGCATATTCAGCAAACATTGGAAGTGCAATAAAGATTAAGTAGTTTTTTTGAAGCAAAGCAAAATATCAAAACTATACTTTGAATAAATGTTAGAATAGGTTGTCAAGTATCTTTGATCTCAGATTTTACTAGTTTTCACTGCCTACATGCTGCTCTTCATACAGTGCAGAACAGTAGCTGAAGCAGTGAAAATGCCAGTTACTTCCTGCCATTTTCATACAATTAGACTTGCTCATTACCGTGTATTTTGTTACGTTTCAAAAATTATTCATAAGAAACAGAAGACCCTTAATATCCTGTAATCCAAAATATCAAATGAGCACAATCTTATTGGTTGATTCCAACAAATTGCAAGTTAGCACAAAGTTTTAACTCATTAATTATACTCCAGCTGGCCTCTGATCCGCGCATGTTAAAATGTCACTGCATAGCACGTGATCAACACAATCGTCCACGTTTAAGCAACTCAAAACATAACTTCCACGGCAATGCAAACATTTTTAATTGCCCACAACTTTCCTAGCCTAGCAATAAGAAGAATGAGGCATACATTATAAAAGGCATAGCAAGTCACAAAGTTTCCTGAAAAAACAAGTCGACCAATGCAACAGTACAATTTGGTGCGCAAATGAGCAAAATCTTCATTGCTGTTAACTTGGACTACTTTTAAATACAATCTAGAAATACTGCAACAGAGTAGCAATTTTCAATTCAAGTTCTTGTTGCCATTCCAATACAATTGCAGAGAGAACTTGGCAACCTCCATGGGAAATCCAACAGTGCTTTGGCCTCTGCTCTCATCTAGAACTGCTCTCCAGACTTCATACAAACTCTGGCTCTCGAGATGCTGGACTTATTTGTCAATTTTCATGCAAATCTCAGATTACTATCAGTTCTCAATCATCTCCTGAAGCCCTTCACTCATGCCTTTGCTCAAGTCAAACAGCCTTCACTCCTGTTGGTCAAAAGTTTCTCAGTACTCCCTCTCCCCACCAGGTAACTTCCTCGCTGAATTCTCTTTTCTATCTGGCTTCTGAGCATGCAAAGTCTTCTTGTGAACGACTTCAGGTTATATTTACACATGGCCTCCCTCAGTGCTGGTCACCTGCCAGGCTCACCACCACCCACTCTCTCAAACAAAGTGGCTAATCAATCCACATATATAATCTTTCCTTGAAGATTAGGACTCATTGTTTTCACACATCAGGGAACTTTACTGCCGATACATTACTAAAATTACTTCCTCATAACGCATCATCTTGCCACAGCGCACCAAACCACCGACACTACAGACCCTTGAGAGAAAGACCTTCCTATGTCTAGCGTATCAACGTCCGCAGTTACTCACCTACCATTCAAGAGGACAATAATACTTCTATCCATCTCCTCCACGACTGTCTCAAGTACTCTTCAAATACCACAACTACATCCTTACAATTCAGAAATCTGGTCTCAAATTTAAACATGACTGGAATGCGATTATGTTGACTGAAGATCTGCAATCAAGCATTTCACTTCACTTACAACAATGATCATAGTCAAAGTCACCAAATTCTGTGACTGCGACACCTCATTTCTGTCTCATATCCTCAACATCTCCATTGTCTTCCAACACGATTAAGCACCCCACTCTTCTCCAGTCTGTTTTCTAGTCTGCAAAGTAGCTCTGCCCTCTCCTTTTCCTTCTTTCCTGCTGCATCACTGATCCCACATCACCTAAAACGGTTTCTCTTCCTACATCTGTGAGAGAGCTTCCAGTATAATATTCCTCTTTTATCAAGAAAACACTGAAACCAAACTGAAGGATCATTCATCCAATTTTTAAAAAATTTATTCATGGGATGAGGGTGTCACTGGCTAGACCATCACTTCTTGCCCATCCCCAATTCCCCATAGAGCAGTTAAGAGTCAAAAGCATTGCTGTGGGTCTGAGTCACATGTAGGACCAGATAAGACCATCCCAGGCCAGTTAAGGACGGCAGTTCGTAAATCAGATGGATCTTGTTGATATTCTGCAATAAATTCACGGTCCTCATTTCACTCTTAATTCCAGATTTTTATTGAATACAAATTCCACCATCTACCATGACAGGATTCCAAGTCAGGTCCCCAGGACATGACCTGGGTTGCGGGATTAACAGTCCAGCGATACCACCACTTGGCCATCACTTCCCCATTGCTGCTCATGCAGTCCCACTGTCAGTAGGACAGATGTTACGTTTTGCATTACTTTAATATCTACTATAAAAATCAACCAGCCCATTTGAAGCACTGAGATGTTTCAGAGGTTATAAAGCACTACTTAAATACACCCATTTAAGGACTCAAAAAATAAGTTTCGATCAATCCTCCACTAACACAGTTTGGGGCACAAAATAAAATCTGCATCATCAACTGGACAGAAGAGATTAGAATACTTACAGTGTGAAAGAGCATGCAGTGCCCAATCCTAGACTGTACATCCTCTGGTCCAGCATTGCACGAGTCTTCCCGAAGTAGCTTCCAAGTGTTAGACAGACAATGATAAGCAAAAAGTCCACTGAATTGTGGCTCATTAGCTCGAGTGTCATCGACATTTCCATTGCAAGTTAATATCCTTCCACCAAACGTGTAAATCATGTGTTTTTCAGAATCCATGCACATCTAAGAGGAGGAAAGACACTTCTGGCACCAGAATTTTGGAACAAAAATTAAAAGTATCTGTACTATAGCTCTAATCCAGCCCCCACAACAGTAATTCCAAATGATCTTTAAACCTTTGGATGGAGAGAAAATGAAAAATGTTGCCACATTACAATTATGGATTCCAAATCATTGAAGAAGTGACATCAGTGACCACCACTAATAATCTCCACTTGATCACTTGTAAGTAGAGAAATTGGAAATAATCTACTTTGAAAATCCCATTACAAACCGCAGCTTTTTCAAATACTTAAGTGAGACTGACATACCAACATCTACAAAAAACACAAGCTAAGGAAGACAATACAAATGCTCATAACCTGAACTTCAACATGCCATGATATCATACCTGATGGTCAAACACCAACTTTGGTCCACCATCTGTAGCAGTATCTTCACTTAACAATGTCCATTTATTAGTGTCTATGTCATAGCGATAGAAATCACTCTTCAGAGACTTGCTATTCCGCACAGAAGAATCTAAGTAACGGCCCAGTGTGTATATCTGCCTTCGTGTTGTGTCAATACACATCTTATGGCAAGACCTAGCACTTGGCCCACTCTAGAAAGAAAAGTAAAAAGAGGGATGACAAGTTAAGGCACTGAACTATGAAATGCAGCTTAAATAAAACAAGAACGAACAGATGCACTCAAGCCATTTTACTGAACAGTGGCCTCAATATTTCAACAGGTTGCAAATTTTCAGGTTTTACAAAATACAATTGCAATTGAACCTATGGCACTTCTTGCACATGAATACTGATATCACAAAACACTGAAATATTTCACAATCTTCCAAATAACAATGCAACCACAGCATTTGCCACTGATGCCTCGTTACTCAACGATGTAAGGTGCACCTTTGAAATCAAAATAACCTAGTGTCTTAAAACTTTGAAAACTGCAAAGTAGTGTTCGTGTACCGTACAAGACAGCAATGGTGCAATAACCAATATGTTCAATATCTTTCCTACATTTAGGAGTTTTTAACTTGCTAAATAATCGGTATTACCTAATCAGTTAGCTGCTTAACCTTTACCGATGTTCCTACTAAAACTCGCAATCCATTTCTAATACTTAATTTCTTGAAATGGCTTTGAAATGCTTTTCACATTCAAATTCTGTAAATTTGTCAATTAATGCGAAACATTTGTCTTTATCTTACAAGGTATGGCAATGTAATTTCAGGCGAGATTCACACTAAAGCAACAAAGATGTTTTCACCTCAGGATTAACCTACAATTCAAAGAACACATGAGCCAAAAGCACACAGAGGAAACTAAATCCTATTTCTTTTTAAGCAGTCTTTAAGAGTCGGTGCTACAATTTCATTCATTCTTCTGTGAATTTCGTGACAATCACAAGACACTTTTATGACCATTAAGAAGTTCACAGCTTTATATTCCATGAGAACCAAAGTGGAAACAAGTATTAGCTGGCTTACTCTCTTTCAATTAATCGGAGCATGTAAATTTCAAGTGCTATAACTGAGATCACAACCCTGTAGCAATGACATATTCAAACCGTGAAACTCAGTTTTGCTACGGTCAAGACTCTTCAACAATCTGGAACTTACAACCAAGTGTAGAGCCAGTGCACAATCCAAGGTCAAAAGTTTGGCAACTGCAAATTAATGTGATGAACTATTTTTAATCTCAGAGCAGTCACTTTAACACAACAAATTATATATTCAGCTATTATAAATTAAATACTATTTTTTGGATGAAATATAGTCAAGTTCATTTGTGGACCCATCAAGTTGGAATACAGGCAGAGATTTGGATGAATTAAAGGTGACAGATGGTGGAAAATCAGATGCAGGTCAAGACATGAATAGAATACCTGAGCCTGGAGCCTAGAAAAACATGGATGAGAATTTGCGAAGAAGATATGCTGTAAACAAGATAACTATTGTCAGGGCTACCAGGAAAATTCCCCAAGTTCGCTTTAAATAGAGCCTGCCGGACCAGGAAGACAAAAAGTGTTTTAACAGCTCATCTGAAAGACAACACTTTGGAAAATATAACCACTCATTCCTCTGCTAAAGTATGAGCGCAAAGCATGGCTCAAACAACATTCAGATCATGGGTACGAATGGTGGTGCATTTTGCACTTTGATGGCCTGTTACTTCGATCTGCTACTGCCTATTTCTTTACCATAATGCAATCAAGAAAAAGGATCCTTACTTGGCACTTCTCACAAGTAATAATAATACTTTTCATCAATATGCTTAAAAGTAGCAGTTCTAAAAAGTACCAAGCCAGAGAATATTTTCAGATAGGAACGGCCAAGCTTGTGCAAAACTCGTGGAATTATCAAAAGTGTTCACCATTTTTCTATGAAATTAGTGCAGAGACAAAGCAAACAGGTTTGTTGTTCTTAAAAACTGCAACACATTCCATTACTTCAGAAGACGCTAATAATAGCAAGTCAGAGGACGCCGCACTAGTCTGCTCCGCATGTGTGGAAATGAGTGCAAAATGATTATATAAACAGTCAAATTACATGGCAAACATGTTTATAACTGAATAAGCCACCGAATAACCAGCAGTTAGGAATTATTTCCACACACTATGCCAAGATCAAATCAACATTGAAAATTGAACATAATTTTTAAAATACAGTAAACTACAACCTAAAAATCATTTTAAAAATTTGTCATGCTTTAAGTCAACTCAATAGGATGACACTGCTATACAGATCTTTAATCAAGCATCTCAACAATACACTTGACTTGCGCACTGTATTTGCATGTGGCATGATCTTACCAACTGTAGGTGCAACCCTCTATTTATATCGACAAATTGCAAAAGCTATAGCTATAGCACCGACGAAAGATGTGAATTACCAACCAGTACTGTTACAAATACACAGCTGGGTGTGAGGGCGATGCAATGCTTTTTACCAACCTAAGTCAGAGACAGACACATTAACTAGATGTACTATAAACCTCAATTGCTCCCAAACTAGAACCAAGATTAAATTTAACTCAGTGTCTATAACTATATCCCTGTTTTCTTTCCCCCAATATTTCAAACTAATAGAAGTCAAGATTAACCATAAAACATTCTACTTCATTGAAAATCACAAACAGGAAATGTATAAATTTAGCTATGTTTAAGTAAAGGAACTTGATGCTAAGTGATATAATTTTACATTTGGCCCATACTTAAGCACACACAGGTCAGCCAATAGTAGACAGCTGTAAAGTAAACCTCATCTCGTCTCAATTCAATACCAACCTCAGATCCTGTGCATCAATTTTTCCACTTCATACATCACGCAATGTTGATTCATGCGAGAGACAGAGGTTTGCTGCTCAACACTGTAAAGTTTCTGCTGTCGAATTGCACAAAATTAACCTTTACGTAGAGTCTTTCGTGTCCTCGAGTCATCCGAAAGAACCTCGGCAAATTAAGTACTTCTGAAGTGCATCCATCCTCCTAGCCTAAGAAACACAGCAACTAGTTTGAATGCAAGACAGCTCCACAAATAGGAGAGTTGCATCAGTTCTACAATCTAGTCTTAGTAATTTATGGTAAAATTGGCTATGAAAACAAAAAGGGAATGGACATTACCTGAACCATTTCTACAAACTTAAAGCTAGCTCTTGCTTGCTCTTGGAGTACTGACATGAGACAAAGTTGGGGGTAAGCAGGAGTGACGGCCAAACAGCTGACTGCTATCCACTTTGGAAGACCAAGTGCTTGACTTTTGTTCAGCCCTCCCTCAAGTATCATGCAGGCAATTCAAGTGGTTTACAAATGACCAAGACAGACTTATACTTAGAAATGAGGAACACAACAAAATAGGTCACTTGTGGCCAGCTTGTCAGTTTGCGCAGTTGCTACAAAGACATTATATCAGGCAGATAGAATACGATTTGGAAAGGATGTGAAGGGAAGCCAAGAGAAGAAACTAAAATCTGTGCACTTTCATGTAATGCTATTGCTTTCCAACACATTAAGAAACTACAGGAAGAGTTTAATGAGGGAAAGGAAGGTGGAGAATATTAGAGAATATCAAGTTATTAAAAAAGTTTCAAAATGACTTGAATCAAATGCAGTTTATGCTATATTAAAGACTTTTTTTTAAAACTGGAAACCTAAAACCAAAGTTAAACTTCAGGTGGCCACAAAACTAGATTCAACAAGTTAACTGTATTGCATGCTGAACTCAACACAAGGAAACTCTACTGGAATGATCTTAGGCTAAGCCCTCAGAAAACATTCCGTTTTAAACAGACTTTGAACAATTAAAGGAGGATACAGTGCTTACAAGACATCTTTAATCAGGAATTTTATTCATCAGCTGGACTATTGCTCAGGATTTGTTTCGCATGCACGTAGTCAGAAACAGGCAAGAGTTTTGTTTAGGACACAGCTGCAGCCTGGATGTGTTTGGCAACCCCACTGATTTTGATTGAATGCACAGAGGCCTCGGTCAGTCTAATGGTGCTCATCACAGTCTATATGGGAGATCCAAGCCAATGATGAGCACCAGGGTTCATGATGAAACAGTAATTTCTGCTGCACATTTCTCCTAACACACATTCTTGACTGTTACTCCTCAGAGTGGTGAGTTTAACCATACGGGGAGGCATCAGGGGATCATCTCCTCAAGCAGTACAAGCACGTGACAACATTGCTAATTCAATTCAATTCTTAGGTTGGAGCAGGCCTTCTCTGGTAGGTTGTGTGTTGGAACTACCCTCCTGAAGCACAGGGTGATGGAAAAGGTTACTCAGGACTGGGAGCCAGGGGAAGTCAGTTGATCAAAGAATAAAATTTCTCAATAAAATGTGCAAAGCCAATCATTCTTGCGTAATCATGGAACGAAAAAGCAGATTGGAAAAAATAAACTAACAGACGTGAAAACAAGCCCTACTGGCCATATTCCCTCTGCTGATTTTAGGATTGTCTGCAAACTGGCTAATACTTTTCTACATTATAGTTACTAGATTTTAGAAGTTTTGCATCAACATAAAGCACATAGAAATACCTGAAGAATACAAAAGGCACAGTATTAATTCAAATGCTTTCATTTACCTTCCACCTTTTGCACATGATTTTAATTGTAATTTGTTCAGGAACTATCAATGACTGAGAGCAGGTATTTTTATCCTAACATTTTTTCTGTCACGATCTGAAACTGACAGAGGCCTGATGGTGGTGCCCAAACATGATAAACATTATCACTTCAATTGAGAAACTGGAGCTTTCTTCATGTGTGTAACATGCTAGCTACTGTGGCAATCAACCAAAAATATCATCCAATTTGGATTTAAACCCCAGTATGCCAAAGCATTGATCAAATCTATCTGCAGTATAATTGAGAACTGAGGCATGACACTCAAGTTTAGCACCAACTTAGTTGTGGGGGCTGAAAGGGAAATGTGAGTTTAGAAGTATGTCAAAATTCTGGCCCCACCCAGCGAAGGTGCCAGAGCAAGCTGACAGGAAAGGTGACTTCCTGCTGCCTCTATCATTGGATTGGGCAAATTACTAAAGAACCATAACCATCACGCAACCATGCAAATCATCAGCCACTTCAGGACAATAGGGTGAAAAAGCAACACTCCAGTTAGCAATCCCCTCAAAAATTAATAGCTTTAACAGTCACCACCACTGACTGATTTCAATTTGTTTGCGCATGGAGCCAAGTATCTGCTGGATATGAATTGCTCCTATGTGCCTGTATTATGTGTCAAGAAGAACTAAATTAAACAGCTAATGAGGCCTTGGGAATTTTTATTTTACAAGCTGGAACAGCAAAGGCAGCCTGGCTGGGTGTGGCCAACTCGCAGACCGGGTTTTCTTGTTTTTCCTTTTAGTTTTTATGGGTTTAGATTTGAACAGTTACTGTTGTGGGCTTCAAGAAGTAGAAGTTATCTTTTCCCTCTCTCGGTTCCAGTTAGAAGCTGAAGTTTCTCTCTGCTGCTGGATTACCTGTGAGACAAATCTATTTTTCTGAATTTTCCTGTTTTGCCATTGGGGTATTTATGGAAGGTTACTATATTGGAACAGTTAATTAGTAATAGTTACTGTATCTATTATTTGGCTAAGTTTTCCAGTAGGGTTAAGTTTTTTTCAATTCCTTATGGCTTTTCTTTGTATTTTAAATGTAGTGTTTAAATAAATTGCCTTCTTTGCTTAACATCGACTAGTTTGACCAGTCGCATTGCATCTGAAACATGGCACTTCGCATCTGCCTTTAAAATAGTAAAAAGTTAGGGTGTAGGCTACTTTCCTAAAATAGTTTGAGGGGGTCTGGTCTGGCCCATAACAGGGGATACTTGAAGAAACAACTCAACCTTTTTTGTTAGGACTGCCACTTTGGGAACAAATGAAAAGTATCATTTTATGTTACGAGTCTGAAGAGGTTGAGTTTCTCATTTGAATTATTTGCTGCATCTAATATTCGACTACACAGTTGAACTATGGTGGGACTGGGATGCTGGGACTATTTAGGAGATTGGCTTGTCACAACTTTCATTCAGCAGGAACCCCATTCTACAAGTTAGGATACTTGACAGAGTTCGTTTCAGTTGAAATTAGGTCATGAGTTTTGTTTTCCTATGGTAAAACCAGAACCGTACAAATCTCAATTACAAGATTTACCAGTGCATACAGGTATGAAACTTTCACCTACCCTCATGACTGCAGCTGTGAAAACAGTAATTTTTCTCATACACTAAACATGGGTAACCATATGACACAGTACAGTATAAAGTTTTCTAACACTGACATTACTGCACAGACGTCTTCTCTGGATCAACTGAAGAATAGATCCTTCTGCGGTCAAAGGCAAAGCTGTTTGAAACTCTGGTGATGCCACCCATTGTCCCGTCAGGACAACTCTCACAGTCAGCTCAGAGCAGATCTCCCTCCACTCTTCCAACAGCTACAGCAACAGCAACAGTTCAAGCCCAACTCAACAGCTTGTCAGAGCACTGATTTATCACCCAAATACTCCTGCACACAGTTTCAGACAAATTTGCTGAGCTAGGGATATATTTAGAAAATGGATCTGTAAAAGAAAAAAAAAAAAAAAAAAAAATTTGCACTGAATTGGAAACACACCTGCAGCTAACCACATTGATGTAATTCTGGTTGGGAACAGGTGCAGGGTGGGCAGGGACTGGTGCAGGGGCAGGGACTAAACCTACCCAGGTTAAGTTCTGAACCATGCACAAATTAGCTCCCTTCCCTATCGAACAAAGCAACACCAATTCCCAAGGGCGCAGAAAAGGTACATTAGAATGCACAAAGAATTTCTCTCGCGCAAAACAACAAGCAGAACTGGAAAGCATCAGTACTTGAAGAACAATTCACTGTAATATCCAACAAGTTAAATCTGCGTGAGCAATACCTGAAACATTGAGGAACTTTTATTTTAAATAAAGAAGGACACCATCGCATGCAGGAGAAACCTTTTGAAGATTTTCAGATGATCCACATCAGCCTGAATGACAAAGCCACACATTTATATAAATCACAATAACATGGGATTCATTTTATTTTTATAAGAAATACCAAAGGTCATTGGGCTCACCAATAATAATTTAATTCTGATTAAACTGCGACATTTAAAGCAAGACTAAAATACGGTTTCTTGTTTCAACTAGTAGCTACTCAAATCGCAGTGGAATATCATTGTACAATGCAGCACCATCTCCATTCAAGCCAGACAATTTCAAAGAAGTCTGCAAGACTTACTCACTGACAAAAGACAAAAACTTGGAAGAGGTATGCTTGATGTTAAAAAGAACACCACATGCTGAAGTATGCTGTCTTAAGACAGTAACACACCAAGTTTTATGCTTGCTGCCCAAGCATTTTCTCAACTAGATGATGCATCACATAATATAATGTTGCCTGTATAAAATGCTTATTGAACAAAATTCTCAATGATCAACTACATTTGCTGGGTATCACAAATATTTTTAATATTGTTTTGCAACCCTCTGAGCTGCTCTCAGCAGTCAGTTGATTTATAAACAAATATAATCTCAACAAAATGTGTCTTCCTTTATGAACTCTACAGCACATGGCAGTGAAATAGATGCTCAAATACAACAGCAAAAGGAATGCCAAATGTTTGTTTAACTCGAAGAAACAAAGGGGCACGACTATAATGAAGTACTAAACGGCTACAATAGAACATGCCAGCTAAAGTGAATCGATTCATCATTTGTACGTAGAATTGAATCTTTTGGTAAAATATGCTTCTGAGATTCAGAATGATTCCTAGAATTGGTGATTAAATTAAAGAAGCAGTTTCTGGGCCTTTCCTTATCTTGCTCAATGCCCTTTTAGAGAGATGCTTGTTGTTTCAGATCCTAGGGAATAGTATGCATAGTCAATGTAAGGTTGGTGAGATATAGGTGCATTGATGCAAATTCAGGAAACTTCAGCAGTTGTAAACCTGCACCTTGTGTCTGGTTTAGTATGAATCCTAATTGTTAGAACTCACTGGTCAGACAAGTTGCACAGATCTGCTCTCCTCTTGTAGCGTTACTTAGTCAGACAAGGATTTCCACTGCACTTTTGCCAAAGCAGCATTAACAAAAAAGGAGAAAATATCAGGAATTTTCTGGCCATTATAACGTAAGCAACTTCAATGAAAGGAAATTCACAAGCCACTCCTCTTTGAATTGTAACAACCACCCATTGACAGAATAAGAGTGAATCTGTAGGGTGCAGCTGTTTGAGGGTGGAACAGAGATAATTAATCCATTGAGCTGCACTGGAGGTGAAATACCAATTTAATTCTTTCAGCCAACATCGTGGACCCACGAGAATTCACACTACTGAATTATTTATTTAATTTTACATTTTACTGTAATGCCATCTAACAACATGAAGGTCAAGCAAAGCAAAACAAATTTCCAAACAGGATCAGTGCACTGACCAAGAAATCAACGTTTTCAGAAACAACTTTGAAAGTAAGTCTATTTATCATCCTCTTTTAAAACATATGAACTTAGTTGCAAACTCAAGAGAAAATGGTACTACAATTTTTGAAATGCAGTGCCAACCAACTGCTGTATTGCAACAGGGACCTAAGAACCATGAACATTTCCAACTGCGCTCCTAAGAACTATGGATACTGGTAAGGGTTTGTCAGCTCAAAGAACTATTACTGTGCTCTAAGTGATGTAGAACTTGCTGCATGGAAGATGAATAACTTTTTTTCCTCCCAACAGAATAAAACAGACCTGAACAGACAAGGATTAACATACTGGTAAAATAGGCTGGAAATGCGTGGCAAGAATGCCCAATTCTCCAGAGAACACCATCTGGAATCAGTTCAAGTAGCAGCTAACAGCAATGGACCAAATACAAATTGCAGGTCTGGCCATATTTATGAATCCCCACAAGCTCTCTCCGAGGACTCACCTTTGTCAATCCCAGGACATGGTAACATCCTTGTACTGCTGCTCAGTTTGTGAAGCTCCACAAGACAACCCTTTCCATTTTCAGCAAATTCATTTTTTTATGCAAATGCTAACCCAGCATTATTTCCAATACAATATACTTGCCTCTTTCTCAGTGTCCCTTGATATACAAGTCCATTGGTTCTCTTTAACACTGTACGCCCAGAAGTCTGCCAAATCTTGTGTTCCATCCCAACCACCAAATAAATATACTGTTTCTGCAAAGAAAGTAAGTCATTATTCAGAGATTTTTGACTGGAACTTTTCACTTAAATTTTTACAATCCAGTTCCAACATCAGCATATGACTGTTACTCTGGGGTTATTACCTGAATGACAAATGTACTGACATGACAATTTGTTAACTCCAGGGTTTATGTGTTAAGTCAAAATAAAACCAGAGTTTTATTAATACACCATTCCACTGTTGCGCTCCAACACCGAGCCAGCATTACTTCTTGCAATGGGTGAGACAAGATAGTAACGAGGTTCCAAACTAAGGGTTTAGATCAATGAAAAGGCAATACAAAGACAAAAATGTAGAAAAAGCAGTGCATGTTTCAGAACCACTGCAGCACAAAGCCTTTATAAGGGATACAAAAAGGGGACAGGGACAGAGTGAGAGAGAGAGAGACAGCGCAAGAGCGGCAGAGGGGGAGAAGAGAGAAAAAAAAGAAAAAGAACAGGGAGGTGGTGTGTGTGGTGGGCGAGGGCGAGGGCGAGGGCCAGACAGACAGAACGGGGGGCACGGGGAGAGGAAGAGAGAGACAGAGAACGGGGCGGGGGGGCACACAGCAATAGAAGAGGGGAGCTTGGCAAGAGAGAGGAGATGCGGAAGGGTGGGTACAGTGAGAGAGGGGGCAAAGGGTACAGAGACTAGGAGGGTACAGAGCAAGAGACACTGGGTGGACAAAGACACGGTCGGGGGAGAACAGAAGTGGCAGAAGGGCTGGAATAGAGACAGGATAAGAGAGGGGACGGGGAGACGGCAGGGGGAAAGACAGCGAGAAAAGAGAGAGAAAGGGGCGAGGGGACAGAGGGCAGGAAGAAGAGAAGAGTTTGGGTATTATTGTATTTTTACTACAGTTTATTGTAGTTCATTAACTCGAATTACCCTTCAATAATAAACATCTTGTGTTTTGATTTTGAGGGCCTTCAACATTCATAGATTCTCAGTTCACGGAAACCATAACATCACAATGCTTAATTGAACAAATCTGGCACAACACATACTTCCTTTTCTAATAGTGAGCCAAACTCAAAAGGTCAGCAGACAAGACTTGTTCTCAAAAACCTTGTCCAGGCTGGGCACCAATTCAACTTCGGATCACCTGCAACTGCTTTCTTTAAAAGAAAACTATATTATGCTGTCCATTCTCTAAATTATTATTGAAACTGTTGAATTCTCATAAACCACCAGGTTCAGTACATCTTTTTCCCCATTACCTATTTTCTCCTTTCCTGTGTTGAAAACATGGAGTCATCCTAGCATCTAAATTCACAGACATCAATAGCAGTCTTGTGTTTATATCCAAATAGCTACTCTTCACTCACCCAAATGCTCCTTGTTGCATCAACACCTCCATTACCCAAAAACTGCAATTTGCCAGAAAACGATACAAATATCAGTTCGCCCCACTGACACATCGTGCGCCATCACTCCTAATGTCTCATTACCCAATTTGGGATTCTTGTCATGTACAAGTCCTTGCCACTCTACAGTTCTGCAATCATCCACAATCCAATATAGATGATCAACTGTGGCCTGATGTGAATCATATCCTCCTTTTGACCAGTCATCTAGCAGTAAAGACTCGCAACTCCCTTCTTAAATATCTTCACTTGCTTTGCTTCTTTCCATTCAACCTTGCAAAAAAAGGTTAAGAAAAACATCAGAGATAGTAGGAACTGCAGGTGCTGGAGAATCTGAGATAACAAGGTGTAGAGCTGGATGAACACAGCAGGCCAAGCAGCATCATAGGAGCAGGAAGGCTGACGTTT